AGCCAGGGGCACCCCGGTCACCTGTGTCATTGTACATACGGGGAAACTGAGGCCCAGAGGAAGCAAGGGCCCCGAGCATGGCCATCACGTGGGCAGCAGCCCTCCCTGGTGTGAGGACAAGGCTCACCCCCCACCCCCCGCAATACACACAGCTTCCCGGGTTGGCAGAGTGGAATGTGGGGGTCCCCGGATTGGGGTAGAGAGGGCCGAGGCTGGGAGGAGGAAGGGATCGGGACACCCAAGGACCTAGGAGGGGGCTGGGCAGGGGCGGGCATACCGGAGGATGAGGCTCCAGAAGCTGAGGATCATGGGAAATGAGGAAGGGGCCAGTGGGGGAGGGGGGCCCTACAATCTGAATGCTGGGGACCTGGGGGTGTCTGGGCGTTAGGATCCCGGCCGTCTAAGGCCTGGGGGATGGGCTATTAGGACTCGGGTGGAGACTCGGAAGAAACTGGATTAGGTTAAATGAGAGAGTTTGGAGGTCAAGGGCTGGGGGTGTAAAGTGTTCAGAGATCTGGGGACTCAGGAAGTCTGGGGATGGGAAGGGGAAGGAGGCTGGAAGAACAGAAGTTGGCCCAGTGGCGTGGCTCCGTGGCTGAGCATCCACCCAGGAACCAGGGGCTCAGGGTTCGAGTGCCGGTCAGGCCGTGTGCCTGGGTTGTGGCTCGATCCCCGTAGGTGGCATGCAAGAAGCAGCTGATCAGTGATTCTCTCTCACCATTGATGTTTCTCTCTCCTTCTCCCTTCTTCTCTTGCTGAAATCAATAAAAAACATTTTTTTTTTAAGGAAAGGAAAAGGAAGGCCAGAACGCTGGCTTCAGGAATTTGGCGGGTCAGGAATCTGAGGTCAGCCATAACTGGTGTGGCTCAGTGGGTAGAGCGTCGGCCTGCGGACTGAAAGGTCCCAGGTTCGATTCCGGTCAAGGGCATGTACCTTGGTTGCGGGCCCATCCCCAGTAGGGGGTGTGCAGGAGGCAGCTGATCGATGTTCCTCTCTCATGGATGTTTCTAACTCTCTATCCCTCTCCCTTCCTCTCTGTAAAAAATCAATAAAATATATGAAAAAAAAAGGAATCTGAGGTCAGAGGTCAGAGGGCAGAGGTCATGGGCTGAAGCTGCCTGGGCATCTGTGAATTTGAGAAATCTGGGCCAGGCAAGGCGTTCCTGTTTGACTACGTGTGGCGGCAGGGGGGGGGGGCATTCTCTACTCTTTCTCGTGCGCTTGGAGATATTTTGCAATAAAATAACATTTAAGAGAAACCTCCGGGGTCCAGAGTTAAAAGGTGATGAAGTTGATATGATCAATGTCTCTCTCTCATGGATGTTTCTAACTCTCTATCCCTCTCCCTTCCTCTCTGTAAAAAATCAATAAAATATATGGAAAAAAAAGGAATCTGAGGTCAGAGGGCAGAGGTCATGAGGTCATGGGCTGAAGCTGCCTGGGGGGTGCCTGGGCATCTGTGAATTTGAGAAATCTGGGCCAGGCAAGGCGTTCCTGCTTGACTACGTGTGGCGGCAGGGGGGGCATTCTCTACTCTTTCTCGTGCGCTTAGAGATATTTTGCAATAAAACAACATTTAAGAGAAACCTCTGGGGTCCGGAGTTAAAAGGTGAT